TTAAAAAATGAAGTTAAATTCAGCATTTTTCAATTTCATTCTGTATCTTATACTTAATCAAATTAACAAAGAAAATAACACATAAAAACGATCAATTTTGGTCACCCTGTCCATGTATGTCTTCTTTTTCAGATTTGATACTAATTGTCTGGAAACTTTAACAAAATGTACTTTACACAGCCAAATTTTCCCTAACTTTGGTACTGGATAAATTCTGATTGCTCGGAGCGATTTGGTTTTGATTTGTAGCGTTATTGAGCCCCATCTGTTTTTGAAAAAAATTGAGCACCTCAGATAAATTTTCTACAGGGGTGGCAAATGAAAAAATTCAAATTTTTGCAAGTTCGGCACGTTCCTAGTTGGACGAAAACAAGGTTTTTTGGAGCGCAACCCCAAAATTTTAAAGGTAAACCAAATAGCTCGAAACCGTTTTTTATTTTTTTGTCCATCTTGTCTATTTACAGAGTGGTCTCAAAAATTCAACTTTTTGGCTTCGCAGCGATCACTTTTCTGCTCTTCATACTGCAATTCCAAAAGTAGATTTTTTAAGACTACTATGTAAGTAAATGAGATGAACGAAACAAAAGAAACGTTTTTTGCGATACGAGGTCCATTTTAATGCGTGTGGTGTTGAAATATAAAGAATCGTTTTTTGATCAACTGAGAACACTCGGAACTTTTACCAATTTTGCATTGTTTCATTGGCCACCGTAGGTAGGAAACTTTATCTGACCCAGAATAGGAAAGAAAGAATTGCACCAAATAACGCTTCAAACCGTAATCAATTCGCTCTTAGCAGTCAGAAATTATCCAGTTAGTCCAAATTTGCCAGTGTAACATTGATTTTGTTGAGCAGTTAGTTCCCAAATATACAGGGTGTACATGTTTTGTTTCTGTCGCGCGGCATTATAATTTCATTCGCCTTTAAAGTAAATATTTTGAACATGAACGGTGGAGATCATTTGTTAGATATGGTGTAAAAGTAGTATCTTTCAGGAAAATCAGCAAATTTTCTCATTGATAGTCACATTTCTGTAATTTCGACTAAATGTTTCATTGCACTACAGGCAGGGTTGAAATGAAGCTTTCTAATATACAAAATTTAGACTAGATGATTTCAGCTACCGTTTGAATTGTAATTAAAAAAAGATAATATTTTCAAATACAATTTTCAGGAAAAAGTTTCACTATTTTCATAGTAACAGTTTTTTTTTTACTTCCGAAGGTCAATAAATCCACAACGCAGCCTGATAGCAAAAAAAGTTCATCTGAACTAGTCAGTTTCAGTGAGTCACCTTGTCTATGTTTTTCAACTTTTACAAAATAAACTGGGATTAAGCATGATTTTGAATTTTTCACTTGAGAGCGCTTGTAGGTGATTATCAACTAAACTTCTCGAAAGTATTCATGTTAAATAAAGGCAAGGAAAGTGAGTACTAAATAAATCCGTCTGAATCGCAGATAGGCGCGACTCGAATGTCAGCTTAAGTAATTTAATAAAAATTTAATGGGCTTTGCTTCAATGGATCAACTGCGGAATTTAATCGACAATATTTTCCAAATCAATACGAAATCGCATGCATAACTGGTGATTTTTGCGGGATTTTCGCTCAAACCACTAAACCGAATTCCGAAAGTAAAACTGCAAAATCTCGTAAATATTTTGTTAGGCTGACACCGTTTCACACAATCGTAAAACCTACTGCGATGGCCTAGAGTGGAATAAACCTTGTCGTATGTGAATAGAGGCCCGTTTTTCCCTAAGATTTCATCGCATTGTAGAATTGTGCTGGGTTTTTTTCAGTGGAAAACAATGCGCCATTTTGTGTTTAACTGCCGAATTAATTATGAATACCAATTAAGATGCCTCATTTTATAGGTTGATTAAATATGTATGTCGACACGTTGCAATCATGTGCGGCAGCATAATTAGAATTGTTCAGGTACTGTTAGCAGCCATTGTGCGCTCTTCAGAGTTATGTAACAACTAATAACAGGCAGAGGCCGATTAATGGAAGAAATGAAAACGCACCATTTACTTGCGCTATACTTTTCTTTCAAATAACAATAATCGCTTCTAGGACTGAACTAGAAGTAGAAACAATGAGTTGTTCCCATTATTCGGTCCATTGTTTGGAGTTTTAGATCCTAAAACAGATGACGAAGGTTTATCATCCAATTGATGCAATGACCGAGTCAAGCAAAACAATAATTCGAATTTATTACTTATTTATCAATGGAACGATATCGGTCTGGTGCCCAGCTGTTCTGCACTGGGCCTTCAATGAAGAAAAAACGGCGTGTTTCATTAGCAGGAAATGAAATGATCTTGAGCTTTTCGTACGATGTACTCAGAGTGCAGTCCGGATGGAAATATTATAACGTTATAAATTTCGTTTGCTTATCATGATACTTTTTTATTGGCAAACGTGAACAAACATAGCTGGCCGTTTTCACGTCTTCTATAGTTTCAGTTAAATGTTTGCTCATAATTCGTTCGTTTTTTTATGTTTTAAAGGGCCCCTATTTAAATGCTAAATTAAATATTAAGGAAACAAATTCTCTTCAATCGCGCTTTCTGATTAATATTAATGCACATTCAATGTTGATGTTAAATTAGCGTTGAAGGTTACAGAACAACTTCAAAACCCCACTTTCAGTACTTCAAGTTCCGATCTTAAACTGGGAAACTCAAAATCAAGTTTGCAACTATTGAAAAATCGGCTTTTGTTCAGCTATGACATCAAAAGTGTAAAATCCATTTTGAACGTTGAAAAGCAACTTCAGTACTTGAAGAGCACAACTAGACAAAAACCGGTTTCCTTGTTGAGTTTCTGAGCAAAATATCAAACAACCGATCGTAATAGCAAAGCTTGCGAAAGCATCAGCTTTAAGTGAGCTTTAAAGTCACAAAATGTACCGCAAAACCTTGCTTGACTGACTGTATTGGAAGAGACATTCATACTTGCAGCTTGACGCCTTAAAGCTCGTAAATCCAAAATCAGTAAACTAAGCCGATTGAAAGCTGCACACAGTTTGAATTAATATTTGCGGTACATGCAATGCAAGTAAAAACATCACTATTCATACTAATATATTGTTTATCCACAGACGCAATATTTTGCATTAAAGTGGTTTTTCGATACGTAAAATTGCAGCTAAAAAATCTAAAATAAAATAATTTGAAATTGAAAAACGACATGAATTTTAGTCGAAATTTTCTAATTAATGTAACAGAGCAAGCTTTAACATTCATAAAATCGCAACAGAAACCTTTAAAACGGCATTTATAGAACAACGAATAATCGATACGCGAGATAAAAACCAAAGCAAAAAGTTCCATTTGTTTGCTCTTCCAGATAAAAGAAATGAGCAGCTCAGGAAGAACAGTTTCCCAAGCTGAAAAATAATAGCGGACCGTACGATATTTAAGCATGTAATAAATAAATACAAAAAAAATTAACCAAAAAAGCAATAGAACCGAATAATAGCGAAGATCTTTCTTCAAAAAAAAAAAGTCTTTCTTCAAACTAACTTTAACAAAAAGCTAATAATGGATGCCTGATAAATATTTAAATTTTAAAGTCCTCAAAAAAAATAATAAACGATGGATTAGGTCAGTAAAAAATGGAAAAACGAGGCAGAAATCGAAAAACGGCAAAAAATCGTAAAATAATAATCGATAAACAGGACCTCAAAAACAAAAAAGTTCCAGTTGTTTCCGTACCATGATTACGATTCTAGATATCACATAGAGTGGCTCAATATTAAGGCAACGGTAGAGGATAAAGAAGCAAAAACAGCAGAACCCGACAATATTGAAGATCCGTTTTATAGGAACAAAGATTAGCTGTTTTATACATGTTTTAAATATAGTTTCCAGTGCAGAATTAATATTGAAATTTAGCAAAACAAGCAGGAGTAAAAAATTCCAGCAATTCCGCTCGATATCTGTTCTTTCGGATAAAATACAACACAATCTATTTTTGCTAATTAGTAAACCTTTTGTGAAGGGGCTTGTTATTTAACGATTGGACTAAAAATATTCAGGCAAGAAAGATCATCAATGCCAAAAATCACTGGTACCCAAGCATCTCTTGAATTTTCCGAAGGGTTCAAACAAAACCGGAAAACATTTTTAAAATATTCAAACTTGCAACTTGGAACATGCAATCGCGTAACTTCATCAGCGTTAAATCCAGAGAATTGAAAATTGTACACAGCGTAGATGAATGTTTCTGGCAGATTTAATCTAATTTGCTCTCTTTTTGTAGAATTTGTCGATTTTTCAGACTTTGAGCTTCTTCACTAACTTCAGAGCCTGTGTGGATATCGACTTTAAACTGGCTGATCGTCTTCAAAATTACCTAAACTGCATTTTCACAAATTGGAGGACTCCTCGAGCTTTGATGTGTTTTCAAGCAAGCAGGGTGCATTGAAAAAAGATAGTCAAAGTTGCAACTTGCCGCCTTAAAGCGCATAACTAAAAAAGTGGCACACAATTTCAGTGCATATGTACGGTACATTTAGAGAAAATTTCACTCACACCCAAGAATGGCCTGAATTTTCCGGGCAAACTTAGGAGGCAATAAAAAATATTGCAAACTTGCAACTCGGAACATTCAAGTGCGTAATTCACCACGATTAAACCCAGCAGATTGAAAGTTGCACACAGTTTTAATTAATATTTTTGTTTCGCTGTTTAACTCAACATCAAGTCAAAAAATACTATTTTCAATAACGCTATAAAATATAAAAATAATACAACGCTAATAAGATCTACGTTGTCTTCCCCATCACCAGTGCAGAGGGTAAAATGAGTCCGTTTCGAGTGAAATTGCGAGCATTGTACTCATTAATCTCATTGTTTTTAATTGGCTGACGCTTCCTATTTTTTATGCACTAATTAGAGTGGGCATCAGTGAATCTGAAATAAATTTACAGAAGTAAAAGGAATATTTTCTACTAATTAATTTGGCAAATAATTGAATTAATTCCAGATGTCATTGGCAAGCACATCCAGCGAACAATCGCCAGAACCATTATTCGACTTGCAAGATCTTCATGGGCAAGCGGCTCTCCATGTTGCGGCCAGATTAGGACAAGCTCAAGTCGTTAAGGTTGGTTTTAGCTCAATTTTCACGCGAATTATACATACACAGCTTTCTTAAGTGGTTTTGAAAAAAATATATCCCCCACTGAGTACAGTTGGTGTACGAAAGTCGAGAAGACTGGTTAAGGAATGCCACATTAAATCTTTAGTGCACTTTTAAATATGTTTTGAGTGGAATTATTTAGTTTATGAAACGGTGATATTTATTGCCAACCACTTTATGTTGAAAGTGTTTATGAAAACATCATCAATCAGCTGTTTGCGTAGATCTATAAAGATCAAATGAGAAAGGAACATTTTATTTTAACTTTAAAGTACATTTTTAAATTATCATATTTAGCAACTAAATAATTCTTCCCTAGATACCTTTACATTTCTTGCAGGTTCCACTCTTTCTTTATTACTGATAGAACTTTTCAATTTTTTGCTAATAAACATCGTCCAAAATCGGCTCAAATTAAAAATTGTGTCAAAATGTTGAAAAATATGAAAACCTAATTTCATTGTTATAATATGTTTTATTAATGTTGTTAATAATTAATTTGAATATTTGATAGTCAACTATTTAAACCCTTAAGGGAAAGTTTGTTATTCTTGACACACAGATCATTTCATCACAGTTTTCTTAACATTTCAAATCTTTTTGGTGTCGAACTGTTGGTCAGTTATATTTTTTTGTTTTATCCAAAAAACAAATTATTTTCTGATCGAAAATTAATCAATAAATATAGAAAGCATTGAAACGGCAGAACATACACTGGAAATGCGCAATTCAAACAATTTAAGATTCCAAAAAATTAATTACATTTTGAACTGATTTTCGTGTTCACAGAGTATTTGAAGTTTCAACTCTTCTGTTTTGCTGGCCATTTTTTCATTATTAATTGTAATAATTAATAGTACAGAGTGTTTCTAAAAGACATTTTTCCGCATAAATTTGGGGCCTCCGTTCCAAATTGTTATGCCAGAAAATGTCAAGATTTTCTTACTTTCAGAGTAGCAAATTGCACATTTCCAGTGGTTGTTTTGAGATCTTTGTTTCAGACATAAATTAAGGAATTGCTCCTACTTTTGCTTTTCTATTCCATATTTTAGTTAATATTTTTATATTCACAGTTCCAAATTGTTCAGTAGTACGACAACAATTGAATTCAATTAATGTGATTTAGATTTAGCTCATATTAACTTTAGTGAGAAAGAAAAATTTTGGAAGCAATGAGATTGGAGAAAACAGCAGTATTTCAGAAAAAATCCACTTGGTTTATATAAAAAAAAGCGTTCTTCTATAGAAAAGAATTAGTATCTATTGCGCTTGAAAACGCAACAAGTGAAATTATTAGAAGAATAAGTGAACAGCTGATGAAGTCACTCAGAACTGGCTACTCAGAAGTGTCCTTTTTTACGAAAAATTGTCATTATCGTGATATGTGGACAATAGCGAGAAATATACTTAATGGTTAATTAACGTTACTTAATTTTTTATGCATCTTGTTTGCTGTAAAAATGTACTTGCTACATCTTGATTGATCATATTTTTTGCAGATTTCATGCTTTTAGAGACATTCGTCACCTTTTTTGATGTTTTGATACGTCCACAAAAATGCACGCTTTGTACATTTATTATTATTCAAACAAATTAACAATTGGAACGTTCATATAAAGGCCCTTTTGTTACAACCAATGGAGGCATTCTAAAAAAATACTCAATTATTTAAGAAAGCTGTGTACTATAATCGAAAAATCCACTTGAAATCAATTGGAATTATTATGTAGAATACGGCACTAAAGCAAACGAAGGACGGTCCTTTAGATAAAAAGCAGTTCAAATCCGGCCTAATCAATTTGCTTTGTAAGGTAAACAGGTTGGTTGTGCTTAAGAGCTTAGCAGCAGCAAGTGTGAGAGTTGATCTTCCTTATTCGAGTATAGTTTCTTAACTTTTTGTTGCCAACAGCAGTCCTTCTAATGCTACTTGTACCAAAATTTTTTTGTCTTCAAGTCATTGAAACTCAGATTTAAAATAATGGCTCAGTTCAGCGTTTACGATGCTTTCACATTCGAGTTCCGTGTTGATTTTTCATTGTTGCTTTAGTCTGGTACTCCAGGAAGCATTATCATGTCACAAGGGCTCGTAAATCTTTAAAGCACGAGATTCTGGGAATTGTTGGAGTAACACTAAAAAAATTTAGATTTATTGTGGCTTGTGTGTTTACCTGGCACATTGTTGGCGTTAAATAACGCTTTGTTTGAGCGAAGTTTGTTGTAAAACCGTTCAATTTTTTGGAAATTTTACGAGTTTGTCAATAATCAAAGAACATGTTTATAGTTTTATGTGCGATAATGAAACTCGTTGTTTTCCAATGTAGGTACTACTGGAATCAGGCGCCAATGCTGATCAGGCAGATATTGATGGCTGGACGCCGTTGAGGGCAGCGGCATGGGGAGGACATACGGAGGTACGGAAATGATTAAAAATTCAAGTGAAGAATAATCATGTAAAACTTTTTTTCAGGTCGTTCAGCTCTTGGTTCAACATGGGTGCCAATTGGACAGCGTTGATGCGGAGAATCGAACAGCTTTGAGGGCGGCAGCCTGGAGTGGCCATGAAGAAATAGTGAAAATTCTGTTGCAGCATGGAGCCAATGTAAATTTGACGGATCATGAAGTAAGTTAGAACAGTAACTGGAATGAGGAACTGAAAAACAATCATGAAGCAACGTTTAACGGGACTCGGGAATCTCGGAATGTGAAACTGTTGAAACACCGCCAATTCCAAAAATATTCCCGTCTTGACAGGCTTCTTACTAATAAGACATTATCTTTACCAAGACTCACCTTTAACACTTGAACTAACAATATGTGGTATTTTCAAGGGTCGAACTGCACTAATAGCTGCAGCCTACATGGGGCACAGCGAAATTGTGGATCATCTCCTTGATTTTGGAGCGGATATCAACCATCCAGACGCTGATGGCAGAACCGCTCTATCAGTGGCTGCTTTATGCGCCCCACGAACTCCAGGTAAAAACATCGGTGCAAATTAAATAATTATATAAACAAAAAATTATTTTGTTTAGGTGTTAGTGTTGTCTCCACCCTGTTGGAGAGAAATGCTACCGTCGATCACAAGGACAAGGAGGGAATGACCCCCTTGTTAGTTGCTTCATTTGAGGGACACAGGTAAAGTTATTTTCCTATTTCCAGTAAACTGTGTTGAGATGATCGGATCGAAATCGACGTTGAAAAAATATTCCATATCATTAAGTATCAATCGGTAAATAAACAGAATATTCGATTAACAATGTGAAGTAAAGAGTAAAAAGCCGAGCTCAACCGATAGGGACCAAAAATTCGAGAACATTGACGTTGCGTGCTTTCTGCTTACTACTTTAATGCGACAAATGCTTATTGGAGTTTCTTTCTAGTTAAGGTCTCGCTCTAGTTTTTGGCTTCAAGTTTTTTTTTGTTTCAGGGATGTTTGTGAACTATTATTAGAGAACGAAGCTGATGTAGATCACTGTGATAACAGTGGAAGATCGCCATTATGGGCAGCGGCCAGTATGGGACATGCTCCGGTCGTAGCCTTGCTACTGTTTTGGGGCTGCGCCATAGACTCGATGGATTCGGAAGGACGAACGGTGCTTTCTGTCGCCGCTGCACAAGGTAGATAATTTATTTTTCAAATTCTGTTCGGCTGATTCGACTGATTCAATGACTTTTACCTTACATAATAAAATATCGATAACCTGGTTTACAGGTTGTGTAGAAGTGGTTCGTCAATTACTAGACAGAGGTCTTGATGAGCAGCACAGAGATAACTCTGGATGGACGCCCTTGCATTATGCAGCATTTGAAGGTAAAATATGTGCCGATTTTGTTTAAAAAATTCCTAACTGCCAATCGAGCTCAAGTAGCAACGTGAAACTTTCATAGTCTATAAAATGGACTAAACGCTCAAAATGCTGCTAATTTCATTGGAATTGAAGAGAATCCTGATTTTTTTGGACTCGATAAGTGTTAAGTTCATAAATGTCGGCCTGGAAAAAAATTTCATCTAAATGCTCTTTGAATAAAAAATATTCATAACTCCGCATCTAGAGCAAGCAGCAGCTTCAAACTTGCATAGTACTTAGAAGACAAATGGTTTCTGAGTCTAAAATTCCTGAAATTTCATCGAACTTGCACCAAACTCTGATTTTCGAAAAATAAACGTTTTCGTTAAAGTGCACTCATACATTCCATTGAAAAATTCATAATTTCCAATAGACAGCAATCAGCTAGGGTAAACTTTCAGAGTCTATAGCAAATGCTCAAATCCAACAATCCTGAGAACTTCATTCGAATCGAAAAGACTCCGATTTTTTACTGACTTGATGAATATTTATACAAACGCACTTTGATTCAAAAACTGAAAAACTTTCAGTCTACCTGAAGTAGGAACGTGAAACCTTCAATAACTATAAAACACACTTAAATCTAAAACTCGTAAGTACTTCATTCGAATCGAATGGAATCTTGATTTTTAGCAACTTGATAAATGTTGATCTCAAAATGAGCGTTTTCTCCCAAATGCCATTCTTGCTTCGAAAATTGGTAACTTCAAACTTATACGGTACATAGAAGGCATCTATCTGAAGCTCCTCGAAATTTAATGCAAATCAAGTAAAATTCTGATTTTTGCCGACTTAAAGGCTGGCCACAAAATGATCTTTTGCATGACAGTGCACACATCGTGAAAAAATTCCGAACTTCCTTCCAATCAACAGCAAGTAGCTGTGGCAAAATTTCAGTCTAGAAAATACTAAAATTTAAAAATCCTGAGAATTTTATTCCAAACAAAAAGAGTCCTACTTTTTACTGCCTTGTTCGTCTGGAAAATGAGCGTTTTCACCAAAATACACTCTTTGAATCAAACATTCAAAACTTCCAATCTATCCTAATCTAGCTCAAGAAGCAACGTGAAACTTTTTCAGTCTATAAAATATATTTAAATCTGAATAAATCCTAATAATTTTATTAGAGTCGAAAAGAATTCTGAATTTAAGCGGTTTGGTAAATGCACTATTCGCTTCAAAAATTTCTAACATGCGCTATAGAGCAAGTAGCAATTTTCGCAGTCTATGAAATATACTCCCATTCGAATCGAAAATAATTCAGATTTTTTGCGACTGGATCTATGTTGGTCTCAAAATGAGCATTTTCACCCAAAAGCACTTCTGGCGTCAAAAATGTTTGAATTTGTGACGCCAGTGAATCAGAGACACACTTTCATAGTCTTACATCTAAAAATGCCGTAAATTTCATTAGAATCAAAAAGACTTTATTTTTTGCGACTTGGTAAATGTTGGTCTGAACATGAACGTTTTCCCCGAACATCCTTTTGCATTCCTGATTTTTAACGACTTTGAAAAATTTCCTGATTTCCAATAGAGAGCACGTAGCCACGGAACACTTTCAATCTATAGAAAATACTTCAATCTTAAAGCCTTACGAGTTGGATTAAAATCGCACCGAATTCTGAGTTATGGAACAAAAGTGTAATTTTAGGCCACCAAGATGTATGTGAAGCGCTATTGGAAGCGGGAGCGAAAATCGACGAGACTGACAATGAGGGTAAAGCTCCGCTTACTCTAGCGGCTCAAGGAGGCCACACTTCGTTAGTTAACCTATTTATGGATAAGTATAATGCCCCGGTAGATCAAAGGCCGCATGACGGAAAAACTGCTTTAAGGTATGCACTAAAGCCAACTTTCCTTCGAAAATGGTCCTTCAAATGTGTTTTACTGGCGTTAGATTGGCGGCTCTAGAAGGGCACTACGACATAGTACAAATTTTGGTATCAAACGGCGCTGATATAGACTCGAAAGATGCAGATGGGAGAAGCACACTGTATGTTTTGGCTTTGGACAATCGGTTGGCGATGTCCAAGTACTTCATACAGCAGGAAGCCGATGTGGAAACCAGAGACCTGGAAGTAATACGCTCATTGGAAACGTGCAACTTCCACATAGCTAAGTTGCAATTCTTCATATTACAGGGTCGAACGCCGCTTCATGTTTCCGCTTGGCAGGGACATACCGAGATGGTTTCTCTTCTTTTAACCTATGGAAAAGCTCTAGTGGATGCTTGCGATCTAGAAAACCGCACTGCGTTGCACTCTGCCAGCTGGCAAGGGCATAGTGATATCGTTAAGATACTACTCGAACATGGTGCTTTGCCTGATCATACTTGCAATCAGGGAGCCACAGCATTAGGTAAAATGCCTTTACAGAGTGTCGATTACATTTCCACAAACCTACTCGACTTTTCCAGGAATTGCTGCACAAGAAGGCCACGAGCTTTGTGTGGTTGCTCTATTAGAACACGGGGCTGATCCGAACCATTCGGATGCTTGCGGGCGAAACGCTCTTCGAGTGGCTGCGAAATCCGGCCATCGAGGCGTTGTGAGGCTTTTAGAGGAATACAACGCTAGATCGCATAAAATTAACATGTCAGCCCATACGAGTAGTAGTGCGAATTCAATAGCGTCCAGTAAGTTTCACTGCCGTCCTTTCACGCAATATTCCCTTATTCAAGGTGCATTTTTAGCATCGACTGCCGAAACCAAACCTTTATCGGCCAGTTTGTATCCGGTAGGCGGAGATTGGACCGATCAGCAACGAAGATCAATGGTTTCTTTGGGTAATCATAGCTCTAATTCAAAGTCCAGTTCGAATCTGACGGGCTCAAGCCATTCCAGCCGCCATGGCGATAGGCAGCGAGATACACAACAGAATACTCAGGTTGGAGTTGTAAATTCAACTGCTCAAATTATCTTAAGTGGGCTAATTTGTTATTGTTCATGTTTTTTCAGCCGATGTCTTTCACCCAACAGCTCCAGCAGTGTTCTAGAGGTGGCAAAACAAGACCGTTGAGTAAACTGTTGTCGCCTTTGCAAAGCGAGCCTCAAAGTCCTATTTACGCCTCACCGCCTCTTAGTCCGGTACATGACAGTTCTAATAATGTTTTCGGTAAGTTCGAAGCTTATTTAACTGTTTTAGGCTTATAAATCTCGATTCTTATTTCGTTACTGCTTGCACACTTTACGATCCGTCGGCTTAGGCCTTGTTCTTACTCTCATTCTAACTTTAACTCTAACGAAAACGAAAGCAGGGAGAGAAGAGGAACTGTCCTTTCATGAGGAATCCACAGCTTTCCGTTGAGACATTTATCTAGGATCACCCTGTATAATATAACAATTATGCCATATAAAATTACAAAAATTTCATAAAGCAGCATAAGTACGCAAATGTTTCATTTGCGAGATTCACGGTGTTAGATATATTTTTTTGTTTCCTATTTGCAGGTCTTAACTCTAATCAGATAATTATATGAAATTTAAAATTATGTAATATTGTGAGTATATGCAGGAGAAATTCGGGCAATCTTACATGAATTACATGACAATTATTAATTTTTGTCTTATTTCCTTTTTTTCTTACTTTTTAGTTATACTTTAACATATACCCGGCGTCCGGAATTAACGTTGATTTTCTCAAGGAGATTGAAAAAAAAGTTTTAAAAGTTCACATTTATAAATTTTAGTGCGGTTTAGACTAAAATTGTAAAATCTGTTAATTTTTGAAATCGAAATTCCCAATTTGTCCGTCAAATTAAATCACATTATTTTTAATATTCCCTAACTGTTGTGTGCGAATATTTTCTCAATCAGTAATTCGATTTGAATCATTTTTTATCGAATCATAGCTCTATTCTTGGACCAAATTTAAGTTATAAGATAAGCAAAAAATATAATAAACATATTGTACAGGGCGTTTAAATACTGTCATGTTTTCGCGGTCAAAGTTTAAATCGTTCTGCGGGCAATACGTGCACCCAGAGAGGAAAAGGTATACGGTATACAGTGTCTGAGCAATTTTGATCTGTAATGCTCTGTTTATCTTGAATGCTTCGAGAGATATTAATTTTTTTTGACCGGCCACATTTTGCGCACAATTTTTTTTTATTTGCGAGAAAATGTGGCAAAAACTGTGCGACCAAAATTTTATAACAAGCTTAGAACTGTCAACTGTTTAGTTTCTTATGTATGTAACTTCATAAAGAAACAAATAAGAACAATATTTTTAGGTGTGAAAACAAGGAACATTTTTTTAGGAGAACAAAAAATATAGCAACTTAACTTCAGCGCACAGAGAGTGACAAAATAAACATCGTTTTTTATTTTACAGTAATTAAAATGATTTTTTTTCTGCATACTGTCATAATCTCACAATGCTTTTCGCTTTTAAAAAAAGGGGAAAAGAAGCTTTGTCTGTTCTATCATTTGCGCTTTAACTTAATTGTATGTGCCTTTTATACGTTTTTAATTTAATTGACCGAAATCTCAAAAATTTCAAACACTTTTCAACTAAAAAACATATTTTTCCAACAAATTGTAGTTATAAGTTGGTATTATTTAGGTGCCATGAATATTTATCAGCCGGTACTGCGACATAACAACTTTGCAAAAGCGCCCGACATGCACTTTGCTCGAGACACCCATATGCGCATAATTTTGGGCAATTCCGGCAGTTCCGCATTCGGAAAGGACAAAAAAGGCGACGAGAAGCAAGACAAGGATTCAAATAATACCAAACAGAGGTAATCACTTAATTTTTTTTAACAATTCATCACTTTTGATCGATGTTGGTGGGATTTCAGCAATCAAAAATCGAAGCGAAATGGTATTGCAACGAATCCCGCATTACGATTGGTGGCGAATGTGAAGAACGGGTTCGATTCGGCAGCAGCCAATTTGCGTAAGTCGACATCTGGAGCGAATCCAGCCTCGAAAACGAACAGTTTTCATTGGCGGAAAGAGACGCCTTTGTAATATAGAAGAGCAATTTTGCGCACTTGAATTTTACTAGTCAATCAAACGGTAAGTATATACACAACTTTCTAATCCTCCATTATACGAGTCTGATGCAAATAAGAATGTTTACTAACGACGAACGTCTATCAAGAAACATACATATATTCGTCGATAGTAAAATTTCTTCGTTGAACAGACGTGTTTATTGAGTGTTGGAATTTTTACTTATTTTTATAGGATGTTAACTTCGAAACGTTGAAAAAATTAACTACTGCTAACAGCACCCACCTAGTCTTAACTATATCAAAGAAACATAGACTTTTTTTAAACCTAAGTTATACTTCGATTGAGTTAGAATGATTAACTTTGATTTCGGGCCTAAGTTTCAACGATGCTTTTGATTTAGGGTTTTAGTATTGTGATAGACAGTCGTAAGTAAAATATTTACTTTTAACTCGGTAAGTAATAATTGTACCTACTACGTTAAGTAGACAACGTTACTCAAGGATATTTTCGTAAGTTCTCGGGTTCTAATTTTAACACTAATCTAGCGTGACATGGGCAAATCGTTTAATTGCTCTTTTTTTAAGGTTTTTAAATTAATTTTATTTAATTTGCCTTTATTTGTTTTCTGTTTAAATACCGTCATACTTTTTATTTTTTCCTAGAATTGAAAAAGTTGAGTAAAAATTAAACAAACGTTTAATGTGTATTCATTTGATTTCGATTTATTATGAATTTATTTCTTTCATTAATTTGAGCATTGCAGATTTACCCATATCATTGTAAACCTCATACGTAGTAGTTAATTTAACCAAATACTTGATTGTGTTGACACTGCAATAGTTGAGGTTTGCCAGTTGTTTCACGATTAACGCGACGAAGACTCTTCAGTTATCTTGTCTAAGACAGATTACTTTAAAATCGAACATTTTAAACCATATTTATTTGCCAATATTTATGAAGGCTTTATATAATTTATCTTTTAAGCATTTAACCCGGTAATTTTTAATACAGTCGGTTGATTAAGAGAGCGCTTGAAATCGGGCCTACAAAGATAAATGAAGAGTCTCCGCTCAAATGACACTAAGGATCTCATGGTGTTCTAAGAATGTATCGAGATATTTTTGTATTTCCAATATTAGTTTGTAAGACATTCGAATTTCAATGTGTAAAGTTTGTGCGTGTTTATTAACTTCTTAGCCTATGTTGTCATGCATAGATTCTAATCGACGGGCTTTTTATTCACAATGTGGCTTAAATATTATGACGAAAAAAATGTGAACCTTTGTTGAAATATGTACAAATGTTCATTTTATCCTTGGCCAAATAGTATTTCCTCACTGAAAACACAATTAAACGCTTTACTTAAAATCCATCATGTACAAATTTAGCTAACTGAAGTCGATGTGCAGCAGTACAAAATACCATCAACTGAAGTTAGGTAGATTTTTCGCTTCGAAAACTAGACATTTAAAATGAGTTGATTGATTAAAACCCGTTAGATTATACTCAGTTGCATGAATTTTATTTATTATTTAAAATATCGCGTCTTAAAGACGCTGATGTACATCAATTATAACGCCTTTTGTATTTATATCTTCAAAGCTTTAGTTTTATACAGTTAAGATAAAACTTGCACTGTATATGTTGAAAACAGTATTAAGAATATTAAAGATATATTCAGCAATACATAGGTGTAGCGTTGTCGATGTCAATAACCCAAAACTTGTATTATACTCCAAACGCAATATTTTATTTATAATTATCGAATCTACTCAATTGTTTTATTATCTATTCAGACATTGTAGTTTAGTTCTATCTACTAATTCGAAAAACCATACATAGAATGATATCATTTCAACATATTTTGATATCTTTGAAATGACCTGAAATTAAATATATAGTCTTATAAAAATACAAATAAAAGGAGTCTCCATGCCGATACTAGAAACATATAACTTCACGGCCTGGAGATGCAAAAGCCCATTCATATTTATAGGAATTCGTTCTATCAAAAATCTTAAATTTGCCATATTTTTTTAAGTATCTACTATTTCTATAAACAATTCACACATGATTGAATCGGGCTTAGTGTGACGATTCAAGCTTAAAACGTTAATTAGTACTGATATTAATAATAAGTAAAATCACATTTCCTTCATGTATCTACATAAAAATCAATTAACGAAACCACAATGTGTAATACAACAATTTAAAACAGATTCAAATTAGTTAAAATGTGCATCGCAAAACAGAACAATACATTTTACGTTTTGTTACGGAAGATACGTTAATTTACAACAATTTTTGTAAACACATTGAACCTACATTTAGGTCTTTAACGCGCGAAACTAAAGCAACACATCCATAAAACGAACATGTGTTGAATGAATTTACTTTAACATTGCTTTTATAACAATTATTGTGGCAATTAAATTTTATTAATCTCGATAGTCAAGAACTAAGCGTGTAGGTCAGTGGATCTTAACATTCATGTCAACTAAAATTACGCACAATCCTAATTTTACTTTAATTGGTTTGATAACAAAATTATTTAAAACGTGTAAACAGAACGCGATAAAATAAAGAACGAAATAGACGAGCGTAGCTGAAAATTTTTAATTGTACAAAAAATTTGGTCCTTTAAGTGGAACAATTGAAGAGTGTGATGCAAGAAGGGGATAAGTGCAAAATTTTAAAAAATTATTATTCTGCCTATAGGTAACCGAATATGTTATTTCACTATGGAGCGAAACCGGATGAATAGCTACCAAATCATAGACATAGTAAGCCTTCAGCAACATTAAAACTAATTTGAAAAATGTTCTTTGCCTCTCTGGCAAATAACTGCGACTTATCCCCTTCTTGCATCAGAGTTTTCAATTGAAACGATACAACATACTTCACCCAAAAAATAAGTATTAGTTTTGAATTCCACCCGAAAATTAATGTGCTAAAACAGATCAGTTGAATTCTAAAAAGACGAACTCAAATTTAGAATAGTAATTAAAACATCCGAATCGAAGTTTTCATGCAATTAATCTGGATCAGCAATCAATCACCTGATCCCTTTGCAATACTCAAGACGTGGAATATTACGGTTGAAAACAAGTCAATCAGAAACTCACAGAAAGTTTTCAACAGTCGTTTGATAAATTTGCAAAATCCATTCTAGTCAAAAGTTTTCTGCCATTCTCTAGTTAATATGAACATCCACGAAGAATTTCTCCAGTGCAGCTTTCCTATCAGATGGCAATTGCGCAAATCGCTCAACATGCTTAGCGAAAACGTCTGAAGGAATCGCTTCTAGAGGTACTGCCACTCTGCTCACACTTACCGAATGCTTTGCCCAAGCGATGAGAAAATTCAACCAGATGCTTAGTTGTTCTTCTGTCGGCTCTGTTGTGAACATAATCGTGTGCACTCGTATTGAGAGAATTACCAATGCGGACACCCCAAGCTGCAATCAAAAAAATCCACTTTATTTACCATAAGTTTTCTTTAAAAAAATCGATTATTTACCTTATTTAACACTACAAAATAAAGCGGTGCTTTTCCTGCATGTCCAAGTGGCGTGCTTCTGTTATTTTCCAGCTTTACTTCTTCCATCAGTCCGGTAATTAAGTCAATGATGTCTTCCATTGTGCACGTTTGAACATACCTGAAAATAAATGTAGTTTTATTTAGTAATTCATCATTAACTTAGTTCAAAAAAGAATCCATCCCCGAAGAGGGCCACAATCTAGTCTAACCCATATAGATTGAAAACAGTTACTCTCGATTGAATGTACCGATATATTCCATTAGCGCCCCTATAGTATGCGATACAGTTAGTTCCTCATGGCAAATTATAGGGGACTGGCGATTAACGTAGTTGAACAACTTGTAAATTTGCACTTTAACTACTTCTTAGTACAAATCAGTGTGGTGTGAGTGGCACTGAGTGAAAATGTATGAGGTGTATGCCCTAATTGCAAGCCTTTTGCTACCCACAGGGTTAATAGGATTTCTGTACTTTTTGTATTATATCAAGTATTCGAGTCACCGAATTTTATGGACGTTAATTTTTGAAAACATCGCGACCATTCTTTTGGGAGTTTTCTATTTGTACAGTGCAGTTATTCTGTCCCAAACTTTTGTGAGCAATGACACCGATTGGTTAGACAACAACATTGACGATCTGGCCATTGTTAATGGCACTATTTCCGAACCAGATGCTGAATCTTTTTATCCTGCCGTAAGTACATGCCATATTAAAAAAACTGGTTGAAATTAACCAATCGTTTACTGGCAGACTGCAGCTGAGGATCACAACAATGAAATAGAGGAAACAAGAAACAGCAAAGCCAAAAGCACGTCTAATGATTTTCTTCGTGCCTACCATACATTGATTTGGACCTCTATCAAGAAATATAAACAGAATGGAACTCGAGAAGACAGGGGTTTATTTCGAAACATATTGAATTACGCCAGGGAATTGAAAGACAAAACTACAACAGATATTCTGGAAAGCCACGATTGTTTTTTGAGAATGTTTCTCTATCAAGGCCTATTAGGTAGTGTTGATATTATTTCTTTCTCATCAAATTTTCTACGTATAGAATTCATATACCATAATGCAAGTATTTGTATTCTATTTTTCACTGTTTATTTTTCCGTTCCAAAAAGCCTCTAACATTATTAATAAAATTGCCCTAAATCACCTTCCCCAGACAATTAATTTAAAAAAATGCTAAAAGTTAAAAAACTGACATATTTCCAATCTCACAATAGTCGAAATAATTAATTTAAAAAAACAATCTGGCTCACAATCTTGTACAAATTCGATTTAAGAATTATCCCCCTATTAGTGAAACGACTAAAAATATTTTAAACACTCCTTTATCTTTTCAGTGTATTCCTTCATAACCAGCGCGATTTCCCTGATAAACACCTGCCAAATTTGCAACCAATGTCCTGAATTAACATCAGAAGAAATAGCCAAAACCACTGAAGGCCCCATGCAATCTACAGAAACAGAAAATAGTTCCGGAACTTTTGGAGAGAAAATAGTTCATGATTGCGATGAAATTTCCCATGCAAACACGAACCCAGTGGGGCCGTTGTTTCAGACCGATAGCATCGAAAGTTCCTCTACAAACCTGGACGTATTTACGGTGAAAAAACTGTCTCAAGTGAATCTGTCTAATCAGCCTGAAGCAGCAAACTATTGCAAGACAGTTAAAACGCCACTACAGGAAAAGCCTTATATTACCGCTGGAAAATGTGTGACGCTTTTAGTGCTTCCGGTAGTTTCGGTGCTGATTTTATATGTTTTGATGAAAAACGGCGTTGTAATGAATGAAGTGGAACACGATAATTTCGACGTGAATTTCCTGCCGAATTTTAACGAAACCACTTCTAACATGCAGGCGGACAATATTTTTAAAGACTTAAACCCTCAAAGCGCTACTGAATTGGAAATAACTCACATATTAAAAAATGTTTATAAAGTAATCAACTCAGTTCAGGAAAGTCAAAAGGATACCAAAATGCCGATAGTGACAGGACAGTATTTATCCAAACTGAAAACTCGCAACTCGACCAACTTTACTAAAGAATGTATTGGCAACGAATCCAACCTGAAAACTTTCGATTTTGCAATTTTTGTGCTCGCCTTTTTCGCAGTTCTCTTTTACACAAAAACCAGCGAGATGAAATTGTCGAACCCAACATCCAAGACTAAAATAAACAAATGCATTTGGGCCTTTTCCATGATGTGGAGCCCGGGAATAATAGACCTGATTGTTTCCAGAATGCTCACTACTAGAGAACCAAACGTTATATCAGCATTGCTCCTATTGCTAGGAAACATGGACAGATTGTACTCCACAAAACAAAATATCGACATTTATAAAATGTATGGCAAAGCAAACACGTTTGTAAACCCAATTTCGAAAAGCTAAGTAATATCTACTGTGTTATTTATACGAGTTAAAAACGCAAGCAAATAGTAATACATTTCGACTAATGCAATATTAAGATTTTAAATAATAAACTTTTTAAATATTTTTTAACTAGTTCGTCTACTTACTGCTTGAAATACGGATAAAGCTTTGGCAAAATATTGTCACCAGCAGTATCTCTGCGTCCTATTACTGGTAAGCTCAGTAACACTTTGGTCCATATTTCTTGAAGTTGAATGCTAAATAGATCAACTGAAAGGTGTGGCAGCAGTCTTAAGAGAAACATCTGAAACAAATTTGATAAACATTAAAAACTATCAACTCTCCAGGCCATTGCTTGAAGCTGGTGAATTTTTCGGGATTTTCGACCGCCATGGAAAATAATTTTGTTTGAGGAAAAGCGACTGGTGCTTGTGAAATACCAGGAAGAAATTATTTTCCTCGGCGCAAAACTCAACAGTTTCACATTAAAAGTTGCAAATAAAGCTAGATGAAAATAAACGCACCTTTCCCTTTCTGATATTTAAGAAGCTGGAAATTTTTTCCTCCTGGAAAAAGCCAGAACATATTTTCAGGATATAATCGAGCTTGTTTTCCGTTATGGGTTCATTGGCTTCTTGTTTAAACAGCCTGAGAACTTCCTGTTTTTGTTCTGGCGTTGGTGCCTGTTCCAGTTCTCTTAATCTGCAATTATGATCATAAATCTTAATACAATGCAAAACAAAAAATAGCTTTTAAAACTTACCTCTGTTTTTGTTTCATTTCCCTGTATTTTTCCATGTTGTTGACGTACATGGGATTGTTGATGTCTTCGGCCTTTAACAGCAACGAATATAATGCCTCTATTTCCAGAAGATATTGCTTGGTTTTCTTTGAATCCTTTGAAGGTGGAGGAATGTCTTGCTCTTTGTCAGACTGCATTACCTCCATATCTATAATCTTTCTGGGTGCAGTGACGGAGCCGCACTGAATAAAAAAACAGAATCCGTAAATCAAGCGATTTTATCACTTAAAATATAGGCTTCCTTACTTGCAACTTTCCTAGAGAATTTTCAAATTGCAATACAGTGTATACCCTTGGTGTAAGATTGTTTCCATCCTGCCTTTCGCTGTTACGCCTTTGCCTGCCGTTATTTTGAAATCTGCCGCTATTTCGCTCAGAATCAATCGGATGTTCCTTTATTGATTTTGACTTCCTTTCTTTGTAAATCTATTTAAAAATAAAATATGATAACAATACTTTTTATAAGTGATAGCTATTTTTTTGACTCACTGTGTAATAATAATCGTCGAAATATGGAGTCCCAGTATTAACTTGCATCATTTGAATATTTAGCAACCACTGTTTATCTTTCGGTGTCATTAATCCTGCATAATCGTCTCTAACCTGGCCATTGTGATGTTCTTTATTTGAGAGTAAACTAAAAATAAAAGTATTTATAAATCGATTTTTCTTTAAATTGCTGGATAACCGCTGATCTTAAACTAAAAAATAGACCATTGATTGACTGTTCAAAACAAAATTTTATCGACTTCTATCCACACACATGATAAGTCGTCAACATTTTCAATTTGTAATTCATAATTTATACTGTGTGATCAATCCTTGTATGTTTGCTAGGTTGTTTATCTTTTTAACTTTAAAATTGCGTGGTTCTCATACCAGTAGGAAAACGTCTTAAGATCCTGAACGCCTATTTGCTTAAATAAATAAAGCATACCTTGATGAAGTTAAAGTAAGATTGAAAGTTTGTACCTCCATACTAGAAAAATCATCAGAACTGATTGATGGTAATTTCTAATTTTGCAAAACTAAAATTTTGCCAACGGAAAATTACACAAAAACCTTCTAAAAGTTGCGCTGTGTTCAACTGACTATATGAAACCGAAATGGTCAATTTAACTATTCAGTGAAGCATTAAAAAACAGTAGCAAATAGGTAAACATCTCATTGTGCGCAAAAATAAACAAATTTATAAAAAATGCGGGAAGCACTCAAAAAATTGCGCGTTTCTTTCTTGTAAAAAGATCTAATCGAGACTGTTTAGATCCCAGCATAAGCCAACGAATGTGTAAACGTTTAGAGCATTTAATTGCTAGGAAACATTCAGATTTTCCTCTTTCCTTAAGTAAACTAAAGTAGTATTCATTACCATACCGATAAGTTCCACCCGCATCATTTCGCATGCTGTGATTCTGCTGCTGGGAACCCGTCATTGGTGAAAATTGCTGTTGTAGCATTTGCCTTGGTGGATTCATGTTTTGCTGTCCAGGCATTGGAACCGTCATATGTGGAGGCGGTGGATAGTTGTAAGGAATATGATTCATCTAAAGATTATATTAGATTTTTTAAATATTTCCGCAACATCTTTATGCATCTGTTTACATCAGCCTTAAAACAGTGTCCAATGTGACTTACGTGTATGGGATAAATGTATCCAGGAGGCCCATTGGGCGGCATCAGGTGAGGATGCGGAGGAATCATTCTGTATCCTGGCGGCATTACTATATGTCGCGGCCCGTTTAGAGGGGGACCAATATGTCTTAAATTTGGAGGAGGAACATCTGGAAAATGGATGAAAAATAATACGGGATCTGAGCAAAGAACAATCAACAATTTGCTTACTTAAAGGCGGCAACCCGGGGGGCGGTAACCTCGAATTGGGATGCTAAAAATATAAAATTTTGATTACTGATTGCTGTGAAATTATATAATTGTTGCATACATTTTTAACACACACGGATTATGTTCATTATTAATGTCTAATAAAGATTTTTTTCATATGCATTAAAGACGGCATAAAAATTAATTATGGAAATTGATCTAATAAAAACCAAAACCACTTAAACTCAAAGTTCGCCAACGACGCAAAAAATCCTCTTTCGCAAATAAATGAACTAAAGTGACTTTACCTGCAACAGAGGGTGATAAGGATGAACTGGATGGTGGGGAAATTGCATGAAAGGCCTCTGCGGTCCCGGAACCTGTTGCTGCATATTGAGTTGATTCGGCAGCATGTGAGTTGGTTGCGAAATGACCGGCGGATCTGCCAACAAAAACCTCCGATTAAAAACGAACTTACTCCAAACATTTTGCATTGCAAACCTTTTCGCTTTGGTTCTGGTCCTTGCAATTGTGCATTTTGACGGGAATTTTTAATTAAATTCTTTTCTAGCTCCTCAACTGTGCATATTTTCGCAGGTTTACTCGGAAATCCTAATGGTGATATACCACTGGGTATTTGATTGTTCAAGTAGGAAAATGAAGGAATTTGTGTGTGTGACTCAATCTGAAACAATTTTGAAATTAATAATCATTGAAATCAATCGTTTGCTTGAAAATGTAAATATGCACACTTACAAAGGATTTCGACGCTTTTTGCAAAGACGAAAGTACTGTGGAGTCGTTATAAGAGTCTCCATTTGTGTGAGTTGGATTGTAGGCCCAAACTGAATCATTTTTTGGAAAGATCAGTAGCTCTTTCTCAGGCGATTTATCTAATACTAACTGTGATATAGAGTTTTCTACAAAAAAAAGTCTTTGATGCAACTTTTACAAACAGGCAAAATAGATTAAATTTACCGATTTTATCACTAAGCCGTGAACTTTCTTTAATTTCCGCAAACTGCTCATGCTGCTGCTCCCAATCGTCCAAAGTGGATTGTTCACATGTCCCAAACGTTTCATCATTTAAAGCATCATATGCTTCTTCATTCTCATAACCATCGTCATCGTCGTCGTCTGGTAAAAGAGGTTCACCGTTCTAATCATAAAAAATGGTTATTTTCAATTGCAATTTATTGAATGAACTTTCAAGCCAAATCACTTTGTTGTCAGCATGTTTTCCTCATTTGGATATTATCCAGATTACCTTAAACGTGTAATATTAACCAATGTCCAGGAAGTAACAAGTAATTAAAGAGTGGAAGTACAACTACTTCTTCCATAAAACATTTCATGAGATCGTTGCTTTTGTTGTAGCTTTTATTGTAGCTAATATTATCAAGTTTTATTAATTTTATGTTGTGTGATAAGTGATGATTTTTTAATTATACTGTGTAAGAAGTAGGAGTTGATTTTTTGTCAGTTCAAGTCGTTGAAGAGCCTATATTTATAATATTTTAGGAGTTCTCGTATATTTTAAACATCTGTTTTCTTCTGAACGAACTGTGCTTGTTTGGTGACTTTTTTACTTTCCAAACACTATTTTTATCATCTTATCAACTCTACAATCGGAATTTAATATCAATGTTTATGTGCGCACTAAAAAAGGTGCTAAGTACATTTCCAAAAGTGCACGAGTGTGCGAAAACACAAAATTAAACTTTTTAACACCGCGTACCTTGCAGACATTTGTCTATATAAACTGGTTTCTTTATACTTGGTAGTTAATCATTTCTTCGATTAGAAATTGAATCACTTTGTATAGGATTCATTTTTAAAATACCCAAATGATGAAAATGTCAATTCTATCCACAAAAAAATTGCGAGAATTCTTAAATCGCAGAATTACTAATAATTTATACGCCGCATGAATATTATCTGAAGGAATCAAAAAGTGTATACCACTTTCATATCAACTTGATTTAAGTACTGGACAAAGTGACGCCTTTTAATGTGAACAGTGATTGGTAATTCGTTGATAGTTTCCTGCGGTACAAATGATTTATATGAACAATACAAAGCCACTAGATGTTTATTTTATATGCTCGAGTATTTGTAAAGCAACTTTAGTGATATTAAGGCGATAAGAGGAAATGTTGTTAATGAATGTGTGAAAGGTCGAGAAGAGAGAATACAAACCCTTTTTTGTTTCATTTTAGCCTGGCAATATTTCAACTTTGTATTGGACATTGGAAATAAAACAAATAACTATTTAAATAGTATAGAGATACAGAATTTAATTCCTCTGGCTTTATAGAATCTCGTCTTATTATTCAAACTATGTACTGCCAGAAATTTATTTAACTAAAATTGCACTTTACTGTTGAGGTTGCGATAAAATTAGTCCACAGGTTAGTCGAGCTTATCTCTTTATATTAGTAAAGAAATCAGGAAGTTGTTTATTAAAGCGCTATATTTCTACAATAATCTGCCTTGTCCATTATAGACATTATTTTTTAAGTATAAATAAAATTAATAAGGATAAATCTATGTTCATGTATAGATTCACCAACAAAAGGAATGTTCAATCATTTTGGGGCTTTTTCAAAGCTGGAGTATTAGATGATAATCGACTCTACATCTACACATCATCTCACACATAAATTCCCAATTAAAGGCACCAGAACTTTGTTAATTAAACAGTATGTACACAAGAGGTTCAATAACTATTTACATTTTGAGGGACTTAAAGTCTAAGAAGGGACAATTTAAATAGATATGCTGTATTTGGGAAAATTTGGCTTTTAGTCATGCTGGTATGCAACGTTTTCATCCAATATTTTAGTCAAACAAATAAATCAAAAATTGCTATGTAGCTCTCAAAGGTATTTAACTGTGAACATGGGGCCGATTTGCAGACAAATGTATACTACTACGTATAATTCATGAACGGTTGGACTGAAGTATTTGCAAATAATATTACTTATAAGTGGATTAAGGCCAAGACACAGAAAACTGTTACGATAAAGAATTGGCGGAAAGCATGTAAAACATGATTTAATTCAAATAGATTTTATTCTACACATGCACATGTTGATACAGAGATAACAGTAAACGTGTTCTTGTACATTTTTTCAGCTGAATTTGTATAAAAGATTTGTACAACATTGTTAATTAAACTGTGTGTACAGAGCAATAAACAAGTAAGTAAAACAGTATTAAATGACAAGGGAATGTATACTGAGTACTGTGAGTCTTTCTGAGTCTCGGCTAAGAATAGAACTCTTCCTATTTTGCAAAAAAAACTTAAATTGCGTATTCTTTCCCTCAAGCACATCGACATGCCGAAACCGAAAAACGATGTTTAAAGGGCGTAAACAAAATGCATTTTTACTCACATTTGGGTCCAAGCTTGCCTTTAGCGAAGTATCGAATTCAAAAAACGAATCTGCCATTTGATTGTTCAAAATTATTCAACATTCTCATTTTACACAAAATACGAGAAACAATTTCTTTTCTTCTTGCCACTTTCCATATGTTTATTACCAACATTAGAAAGCAAATATTTCCAGGTGGTATCTGTCAGCATTGTGTACAGTTCGTTCAGAATTTATAGTTTCAACGGTGGTTTGGCATCATGGCAAATGACGGTATGTTCGGAAGAAACTAACTTTATTGTCCATTTCTTTGAATTCTAACTTAAAAACACGTAAATTATTTTCAAATATATTGATAGTTTTGCCAAGGGCTGGAAAGCCCAAAAAATTCGCCACTTTCTAGCACACACGGCTTGCTTCTAATTAATATTTTTAATTAGACCAGCAATTTACATGAATGAGCTCAATTAATTAAAATACTTGTAAAGGCGTTTGAAACGTACAAAAATATGGCCCGTGTAAATTGATTTCACGAACAAAATAATTTATCAAATAATTTAAACTATACTCAAATACTATACTAAAAAACTCAATAATATGATAATAATAAATATTAATATTTTGTCTGTTTTAAACATTCTAATTTATAACATTTACAAGTTTGTTATAGATACATTTGTGGGAATTGGGACGGGAACAATTAGATAAAAAACTAGGACCTAGGAATATTCCCGCGTAGTCGAAAGAAAATAACGATTTTGCCGAAAAAATGTAAATAGGCTGTTCTACGGCTGCTGGAAGTTGGGATTGGCATATCAACAAAACAATCTGAAGAATAATCAATTTAATTTACAAAACAATAAACATTTCCTATGTAAACATGCCTTAAAAGTTTAGTTAAATCTCCACTACACTTTCAAACCAAAACAACCGGATGGGCAAATATGTAAATAGCAAATTTTAACTATTTTACATAATACGCTTTGCAAATATTTTCCGTGCGTGGCAAGAAAGTGAATATAAAGAATCAAACATTGAAAGCAGTAATTACAATAAAACAGGTCAAATGTACAGAATAAAATATTCCGAAAAAGTACCTGGGGTGTTTTCCATTCAGAAAAACATTCCCAATTCACCATGAAGCCGTCAATTTTGCATAAATAAATTAAATAAAAATCATCATTTAGGAATGGCTTGAGTTGTACATACAATTTCATATTTGCGCGATTTAGTTAACTGAATCTAAACGGAAAATAAATAATTGTTTTTACATATCACATTATTCATACAATTTAAATTGTACAGACAATAAAACAAGATTTACATTGCGGTTTTTCAAAAGTAAATAGTGATAATAATTTAGCACAAACAAATTTAGAGTGTCTGCCCAAAAATTGCATTTTACCGCAAGATCCAACCAGCATTACCTATTAAAACTTAGAACAACTAATAGAATGTATTTAGGAAATCCAAATTAAAAAACGCAGTTGGTCTTACCGATCAATGCAGCTTGCCAAGTTCCATTTTTTTCTGGATAAGTTTGATTGAATGATACAAGAACGTATCAACTAACCCTGCCACAGTGTAAACGCCCCCAACGATGGCGCATACATTCGTAAGAAAATGTCCAAAGGATCTTTCTCGTTCTGTGTACTTTACCATTAAGGGCGAGAGTTCATATTGGAAAAATATTCCAGGCATACCTGCAAAAAAAATCTTGGTAAGCACAAGGTCAGGGAGACAGAATGATTTATTTTACCTGATTCCCCAGTCATTAAAGACACAACTTTTTGGTGTTTGGTAACAGAAAACTGATTGCTTAGAATTACAGATCCATCTTTTCTTACATAAGAGGTAGGCACAATTTTGATGTGATATTGAAACATCGTTGAACCTAAAATGGTGAACATGTGCAAAAAAACACTAAAATGAGGCAGTAAATAGACCTACCCTCAACAGTTACACCATCGAAATCTTTCAAGGGATTGTGTGTTTCACTATCTATGCTTGCACCGAAAGTCAAATGCCGTATATGGTGGGTCATGTTGAATTCAGTGGATGAAAACGGTTGCACATCATGTACATGAACATGATTTATACTGAAGCTTTTTCCTGGTGCCACATGGAAACTTCCACTCACTCTAAAACAAAGAATTCGAATATTGGGAACGTTATTTCTGTTTAATTTGTTTAGTATTTTTAGCAGCTGCTTACCAAATTTACTCGGCTTTCGATTTATAGCTCTCCAAAAACGGTTGCAGTTTAGAAAAAACTCTCAGAGATTCAAAAGAGTTAAAAACTTTAAAAGAGAGCAAATATTTTGAAGAAAATAAAAGACGCATGCATATTCGCACAATTATTTAAAGTACCTAAGCTTTTACCGTATAAGAAGTAGCTTAAAGAAGCTAATCCGCCAGTAGTCACTGTTCCAAGTTAGAAAGTGTTTCTTAATTATACGCAGTAGTTGGAAGTAGTTTTAAAACAAGGTCCAAAACACTTTATCAACATGCATGATTATTCAGATGGATTTCTCAGAAAAAACATTTTTTAATTATTCTTTTTTTATCCAGATTCAAGTTTTTATAAATTTTGCACCAAAACACCAAGACAAATTTAAAGCTTAGAAAAACTGTAAATTTTACCAATTCGTTTTATTTGTTAATTTCCCTTTTTCTGGTTAAAAATAAAAAAAATGCAAAAAAATTCTTACCTGCTCACAAATAAATTTCCATATATTTGACACCCTTGTGTAAACGCTGATTTTATCTTATCACTGAACTTCTCCTCTTTACATTGCTCAATAATGTCCATATTATCTATAGCCCATCTTTTCTCTCTATAATAAAAAAGTTTTATTAGATAAGAATTATTATTACAGAAGTTAATCCTATTAAAGTAGCAATAAAATATGTCTTTGCAAACTGGAGTGATTTTCGGGTTTCTAGGCCTGCGTCAATAATAATTTCAACCTGACATCGCAAAATACCTCTGAGGAAGCAAGCGACTCGTGTTCGCAAAACGTCGGGAGATTCTTTTCCAGCGCTAAATGCAGTTTAAAAACTAGAACAATTGGAATAGATTTATCGGTTGTGCTACCAGAACATCACCATTGTGGTTGAAAACGACTCGAAATTATTAATTTACACTGACAAAAGACTGAAAAAAGAAGTAAACGAATTTTTAACACCAAAATTTTCTTTCAATATGGCTTTATTCACTTTGTTTCTAACTGAATTAGTCAAATAGTTACATATTTCCAATTTAAAATTGACTAAACAACGAACGGTTTTGTACACATTTTAAATTTGGCTGAATTTTTTTCAATAATGATAAAAATCGTGACTGCTCGATTGTGTAGAAATGCATGTGGTTAATTGTCTGAAATTAACCAATGAAATGATTAAATTAAGGTACATCAAAAATAATTTAATAACTACGTAAAAATTGATTTGATTGATTGAGCGATTATAATTTATAAAAGCAAATTTTATTTTTGTATTATTGGGTTAATTGTTGAATGGGAACGTTATATTGATATTGTCTAGCCACTAAAAGCTTTTAGTGAGTAGACTTAGATTAAAAGAATTTATAGCTATAAATTCCCAAAAAAATATATTTCCGATAAAGGCAGCAATAAAAAAATTGATAATTTTTACAACCCAATTACCTATAAGTAAGTGCCCAACATTTCGAGCTAAATACCCATTTGCTGATAACCATATTTCTGTGCAAATTCTTAAGAACAAGTTAAATGTAAACAGCATACCTATAGGCCTGCCTCACTTCTTCACACGTATTGCAGCATCCATCTTTAGCGCCGTAGCAACTTCCACAATAATCTTCAGTCTTATTCCGTGTGGCAATTTCAGTGGTCTCATTTTTACTTGTAAGAGAAATGTCTTCTTTCTTCGCTTCTTCAATGGGATTCCCATTTAAATCTAGCGCTCTTTTGAAGACATTATGGGAAATCTGTTGATAAAAAAAAGTTGACTTCTATGTTATGTATTATAAGTCCATATAGTGAACTAGGTATATAAATGTACTTAAGTAGTCATCCTTAATTTCTTAGCAAATTAATAAACATAGACATTTAAAAAATAAACCAAACAATTGTTCTAAACTTCCACGTTTTGAGCCAATGCCGCACGGCAAACAAGTTCGGGAAGGTAAAAGATCTCCATATATTCGAGGTATAGGTGTTTCACAAACTTTGCTTTATTCTTCATTTCATGTCTTGAACTAATGTTATTAAGATAACTCCTAATATTTTCATAAATTCAATACTCCTTCAGATGGCAGTTAGATATTTAAAAATTCAATTTAAAACTAACTGCAACAGAGTGCAATGGAACAGGAAATACCTACTTGAGTAGTTCAATTAAGACCTACTTGTAAATGTTGATCCCCTGAAGAGTCCATGGCATCTAAAGCTAAGAAATCGCACGCCACTCTGGGTATCGACAAATCGAACTGGATTTCAATATTAGGGCTTCTTGAAGTGTCCACAAACAGTTCTTCAGTAACATTGGGAGTTAGATAGTTTAAAAGCTCGAGCCAGAAGAGCAAGCTAATTATTATCATGGACAGGATTGAAATAGTGCCGCCTCCGAGGGTTTGGATACGTACATCCTCCAAGGTTTTGGGGTAGGCGTCAAAACGACGGAGTTTTTTCAAAAAATCCATCCCTTCTGCTACCAATTAGCCTTTCTCCTCTAAGCGCTAGTTTCACCGACAAAATGTCTTCAATTAGAGTGAAACTCGACGTTCTGGCATAATACTGACACCGTTCACAGCACATATGTTTAATACACAATCACTAAGCACTGGACAGCACTCGAGTTTTAGGAAATTTAAGTTATTTTGAAATTGTTCCACATTTCCACATCACAACTCACATCAAAACCCCCTCTACCAATTGTTGACAACCTGAGCTACCTGAAGTAAGCCAAAAGAGTCACCAAACGTTTTGTAAATTTATGACATTTTGAGCCGTTTTCTCAGAATTGAAACTTAAAACAATAAAGAACAGTTTTTGTTTGTGCTATTTGAATAATAAAAGTACAAAAGTCCCATAAAAGACTGCAAATTTCACAAATATAACAAACAATCGAGTTAGAAATACTGAAGAGAAGTAGAAGACTTGTCATCGATCGAGTCTCAATACAGTCAAAACTGTCACAAAAGTCATTTAACACGAAAACATTGCCCGTCACAACGGGAGGTGTGCCTGATAAGCTTGTTTTGCTTTGATTTGCATAAAAATAACTAAAACATGTCGGCTACGTTAAAGCCCTATTTAGATGCAGTTCGGCATACTTTAACAGCGGCAATGTGTCTGGACAATTTCAGTTCCCAGGTGGTGGAGCGACACAACAAACCCGAAGTGGAGGTTAGAAGCTGCAAAGAACTATTACTCACCCCAGTTGTAATCTCCCGAAATGAGAAAGAACGGGTACTTGGGCAGATTGCTTTCATTGCAAATTTTCATGCTAAAATTTGCGTAATTTCCAGGTCAGAATAGAGGCTTCGGTTAACTCAGTTCGCATTAGCATAGCAGTGAAACAGGCAGATGAAATCGAGAAGATCCTGTGTAAAAAGTTCATGAGGTTTATGATGATGCGCGCCGAGAATTTTATAGTGCTTCGTCGCAAGCCCTTGGAAAACTACGACATTAGTTTCCTGATCACCAACTTCCACACCGAGCAAATGTACAAACACAAACTGGTGGACTTTGTGATACATTTCATGGAAGAAATCGACAAAGAGATTTCGGAGATGAAGCTGGCAGTGAATGCCAGAGCTAGAATTGTTGCAGAAGAATTTCTGAAAAGGTTCTAGATAGATTTTAAAACACTGCAAATTACTTCTAATATAACACGCTTCTTCTGTCAATATGCGAGCTGTGTGGCATGAATGTTCTCTTTAAATGTTTTCCTGAGAGTTGAAAAGTTGTAAATAATGTTAAGGTAATTATATAGTCTTCAGTACATATTTTAAATTACATTTACATAAGGCAGTGAATGTTTGTAAAAACTATTTTTAGGTGTTACTCTATTTCACAACTTGCCAAAGTAGATGTTGGGTTCAACTGTTAAAACTCTTATCATTACTAATTGTCCCAGCACAATCACTTTTAAGTTCGAAAATCCTGGCCAAAATATGCTTGTTTCCTTGTGCAACAAGCATGGCTGACAAATTGAGCAGTTTTAAAAAATATTATTTATTTTAACAGAATACATAACAATATTATAAAGATGACTAACAAAAGTACATGTATGAAATATTTATAGGCAGAAGATAAAATGAATATGTAAAAAATGTAAATCCTCATTAAGAGAAATTATTAAATACTGCCAACAATGGAATGCAAAATTAAAGTAATAAATATCACAACATCAATTATTTAAAATGTGAATAAACCAATTAACACTCAAACACCTGTTGTTCGTTAAATTTATGTGGAAGATAAAACAAGACAGTTATTAATATAATATAAGATTCTTGCCTTTAAGGGCTTTGGAGCTAATACACCATGCGTCGAATATTTAGTCTACAATATTGCATATAAAATCTATAAGTTAGACTATGAGAAGCTTTATCTAGGTAGAAGAAGTTTAAATACCATATTTTGTGTTACGAAAACGGGGACATTGCAAATACCTACTTAAAATGCAATTGTGTCTATTTTTCCTTATTTGATGGCTCAGAATATTTAGTTGTTTAAAACTCCAACCAAGTGCATAACTGAGTCTCATAAAAAAATACTTTAATTGCAAATACTTTAGTCACAAGAGTATTATGATAAAACGTGAATTCTCTATTATTCTAAATTTGGCCCAATCAACTATACAAGCATGTTCTCATACAATCGAAAGTCCAATTTTGGTGAGATAACTTTAATATGCAGTTATTAGTCATAACTTACTACTTAATTTCCCTCTCACTACCTTTAGATTGATTTTACGTTTATTAAGTAAAGCTTTTCATCAGTTTTGTGCCGCTGAAAACTGCCGACACCTTCATGGAATCAATCTCAAGTATGTTGGAACTTTCACGTTAGAATCGTTGAAATTACATTGCGATTATTACCTCTGCTCTACAGTAGCAACACCATCCGTATGCTATAGAATTCCTAGTTGACCGAACTGCAAACACCGACATTTAAATGAAGAAAGATTGCTAAAAGTTTGCCACCTTAAGAAGTAAACTAAAACTTACTATGGTCTGTTTTTGCTGCTCCTTTTGCAAAACAGCTTCAGTCTGATTGGGATCGAACTTACAAACGGCAGCTATTACTCTTGCTAAAACCATGCTCTCCTTTCCCAGCATGTAATTGTACAAAACGTTCTTCAAATATTCTATTTCCGTAGAACTAGATAAATCGGCGCAATGGTTCAGAGTCACTAGAGTCTCGTCTAATTTCCTATTGAGTTTTTCATTTTGATTTTTCACTTTTTCTAGCTCATTTTCATAGAATTCGATCGAGCTTTTGTTCGTAATATCCAAGGACTTGTACTGGATTAACTTATCTTTTAACGTTTCGTTTTCCTTTAGCAATTGGTCATCTGGGATACCCGATCGGTTCCCTGCCGACAAGACCGATTTTTCCTGTTGGACTATGGCTAGTTTATCTACGAAAAAACGAAAATGATTCACCTTTTTCGGCAGTTAATGAAACACAACTATTTAATTGTTACTCACCTAATTTACTGCTGCTCCTATTAATTGGGGCAATTTTCAATTCTAAAATTTCATCCTGCAAAAGCTGCTTTTCATGCAACACCTCGGTGTAGTGTCGTTCTAGCTCAGATATTTGCGTTTCTAGATCTTTCTTACTCTGGAAAACATAAACATTTAGAAAGCTTTTAAATTTGACACAAAATTAACAATACGAATCTACTAAAATCTAACAATTTATGCACAATTGTAATAGATTTTGTTTGAGGCTTAAAATAAAACTTACTTTCGTGAAATCTCTACATTGCTCCTCCAGTTTCGAATACTCAGCTTTCATACTGTTATTCTCCGAATGCAACTGATCGAATTTCTGTTTAAGGTCAAAAAAGTCTTTTTGAATTTCCATTAAATCCGGATTGTTTGTCGCAGGAGCAGAACTGGAATGGTTTTCAATTTGCCGTCGATTTTGCTCCAATTTATCGGTTAAGTCTGTAACTGCAACCTGAGAGAAAGAAGTCTTAAAGACCGAAGTTTCCCTAAAGTTTATCCTTACCCGTAAACTATCGCGTTCTCGCTCCAGTTCGGTATATTTTCCTTCAACCGTTCCTTTTTCATTTTGAAGGGATTCGCATTTTAACTTGTACTCTTCAATTTCAGCAGCCAATTTATCATGGTCTTCGTTCACGTTTCGATTATCAGACGATAACTGACTGATCCTAACTTTCAGTTCCGAGATATCTTGGCGCTGTTTATCACATTCCTTTTGTAACGTCTGAAATTACATTTCGCTGTTAACCCAATGTATAATTTTTGCTACTAAAAAATCACCTCATTTTGCTTCTTCACTTGCTCCAGTTCTTTGAGTTTAGGCAGTAGGGGCCGGAGATTATTGCATTCCGCTGTGATTTCATCGATTTTATCCCTCAGTTGCTTATTATCCCGAGTTGCAAGATTAAATTGCTGCTCAATCACGTTCATCTCTTTCGCTTTAAAGTGGAATTCATCTGTCTTCTTTTTTAGCTCCTTATCAAGCCTAAAGTTCAAACGAAGAATTAACAAAGATTTATGAGAATATTATTACCCGTACTTTATTTTGTCATTCCTAGTTTCGGTCAGTTTTCGTCTGGTCTCCTCTAGCAAATGACCGTCATCGGATTGTTTGCTTTTAGCTGCATTGTACAGCTTATCTACAGTTTCTAGAGATTTTTTAATCTCGCCGATTTCCGCATTACTTTTGTCTAGTTCCGCCTGAATGGCTTTTAACTTCGTAATTGCCGCCTTCTTTTCTGACTTTTCTGTGTTCAGTGTTTCCAGCATCGTTTTGTATTTATCTTCCTTGTGTTCTAGATCTTTATTTAATTGAGTCACTGTTTTGCTAAGGTTTTCTAGTTTCTTTTGACGAACATCTAAAAATTGACAACAATGTGAAAAGTTTTAGTGTTAATGCCAAACTTACCAATTTCCTTTTTGAGATTTTCATTATCGCTCTGCAATTTTTCAGTCTCCTCCTTGAGGACATTTATTTGTTTTTCTAGTAACAAAGTTTCCTCTTTTAGCTTGGAGTTGAGGTTTTCTTTGTCGTCCTTCAGTGTATGATTTTCTTGGCTCATTCGTCGCAGTTCAGTGTCAATGAGTTCGAAATTTTTCCTCTCTAGCTACAATTGAACAAACCACTCGTTGAAATAATTAACCCAAAAAGTTACTTAAACGCACTTACTTCAAAAGACTGCATTAAATCGTCTTTCTCTATTCTGTAACTATCCTCCAAAGATTCTTTATCTTGCTTCAATTGGAGTATTTGCTTATTCAGGTCATCGATTTGATTCTCTAGGTGCGTGCCTTTGGTTAAAGCCGATTCGTAGGTGGTCCTTTCCATTTCAAATGAATTCAACATATTTTGATTCTCCTCTTGCAGTGACTTTAATTTCATCTCCAACAAGTCACACTCGGTTTTCTCGATTTGCACCGAGTCTATTTGCTCATCTCTAATTTGACGTGACTCCTTGAGTTTGGTAATTTCTTGTTCCAATTCCAAATTGGCCTTAAATTAATCAATTACACTTTCTCAATCCATTGATAATACCGAATCATACCTTCTGCAGCTTGACTATAGTTTCTTCTTTTTCCTTTAAGTAGTGTTTTAATTTGGCGATTTTTTCGGACAAATGTACGTTACTGCCTTCCAGATCTGTGATTAGTTCTTCTTTAACCTTCAGCTCTTTATGTTCGACTAAAACTTTATTAAACAACTGTCGTTCCATTTCGAAACTCTTTTCAAGTTCTTTTTTTTCCTTTTCAAGTTCTTGAAGTTTTAGCTTGAGTAGGTTGCATTCTGATGATTCCATTTCAACTACCTGCGAAATAAACGCTTTACATGAATATAATTCGCTGTTTAGGTTCTTACTTGGTCTCGCTCCTCAATAATGCGAACTTTCCCCATTAATTCATCCTTGACTTGCTTCAGCTGAAGATTCTCTTTGGCCAGCTCTACATTTTCGTCCATAATGTCTTCTTTATAGTTTGGCGACATATTTTCGTTGCTCGTTTGGAAATAATTGGCGTTCATCGACTTTAACAGGTTTTCCTTTTCGTTTTGAAGTTGTTGCACTTTTATTTGCAAGAGATTGCACTCGGTTTTGTCGAGTTCAACTACTTCATTGCGTTCTTCTTTAATACGAGTTAGTTCCTGGGCTTTTGTTAGTTCTTGCTCTAGGCCCAGTTTAATCTGAAATATACTTTAAGAAATACAGTTTCACAACTACTTCATAGAAAAGTACCTTATTCAACTCCACAATAGTATGTTCCTTGTCGTTGAGAAAACCTTTCAAACGTACAATGTTTTCATCTAATTTATTATTCCGTTCCTCCAATTCGGAGATCTCGATTTCCTTAACTTTGATGTCGTTGTGTTCCTCGAACACTTTGTTATAGAGCTTTCGCTCCATTTCAAAACTGTCCAAAAGCACCCTCTTCTCTTCTTCTAGAGCTTGGACCTTCAATTCCATTAAGTTGTTTTCTGTTACCTCCATACCGGAAGCTTCTTCCTTTTCTATTAATAATCTGCAAATTGTTACAAAAGATATTTTTTTATTTGTTCGTTTAAGTTAAACTAACTTGAATTTTGTGTACAGTTCTGAATTGGAAGCTTCAAGTTTCACGTTGTCTTTGGTGAGCTTCACTATCAGGTCTTCTTTTTCTGTGCACATTGTTTCTAAGTGCTCCAATTGCTCTTGTTGGGATTTGATGGTGTTCTAAAGGACAAATAAAGATTGATAAAATGCGGCGATTTGAATGGAAAAAGGTTACTCACTTGCAAGCGTCCAATATTCTCCTCATAATTCATGTTGTTCTCGTTAGCAGTTTCGGATATTTGTCGTTCTAGGTTACTGAGCATAGCCCTTAAGTGACTGCTCTCTTCAATCAGCTCCAGATGATTAGATTCCAGCTCTTTATATTGATTGCTTTTTTCGGTCAATTTATCTTTATGAAAAGCTATCTCTTTGGAAATATCTGTGATGACAGCGTCTTTCTCCAGAAGCTGCAAATGAATTTCAGCTGCCGTTTGATTGCTAGCTGATATTTCCTTAAGTTTTTGATCAAATTGCGATTTCAGCATCGCTTCTTTTTCTTCGAACTGCTGCTTAACTCTGTCCGAAATTCGCGTTTCCAGACTAAAGAGACCCTTTTTGGCACTATCTCGTAGATGCTGGATTTGGTTTTCATAATTTAGCTTTTCATTTTGTACCAGATCTATTAGATTTTGCTTTTCCTCAGTTATCCTGAAAATTATAAGTTACTGGAGTTGAATCCAGCTGTATTGGGAATGTATTACCTTTTCAAATTATCCTGGCAAGTGTTCAAGCCAAGTTTGAGAGCATCAATCACAGTTTGCAGCTGCATGTTCTCATCTAAAACATTTTTCAGTCGGGCTTCAGCTTTATTTTCCGCGGCTGAGATTCTTTGATTTAGTTCTGCGTTTTTCTCCGTCAGCTCTTTGTTTTCGCTTTGGTACTTTTCCAGTTCTCGTAATTTAGTTTCCAATTCGTTGCACTTTTGAGTGAAGCCTTCCAATTTATCCGTGAGTTTAATGTTTTGACTTTGTAAGTTTTCAACTTTCGCTGATTTATACTCTTTATCTGGAGCGTTGATGGCCGTTTTTAGTGACTCGATTTCATTCTTCAGTCTGCTGATTTCCGAGTCCTTACTGATTAGTTCGTTGTGGAGTTCCATTTTGTTTTCCGCCAGTTTTATATTGTTTTCTTTTTCCCTATAGGAAAAGTGGTGATAAATAAAAATCGACGTAAAGTTAAGGCTGATTAAAAAAAAACAAACCGTTCAGAAAAATTCAAAATATCCTGCTCCAAAGAGGAGATTTTGTTCCGATATTCTTGTTCCTTGGTTTGGAAAATGATCGCGCTCGCTTTATGCTCTTGTATTTTACTGTTTAGGGCCTCTATCTCGCTTCTGGCATCGTTTAAATATTTGGTAAGTTGTTCCAGTTTATCAGAATCAATACCTATTGCGGTCTCTTTTTGATCAACCTCAACTAGACCGTCAGTGTAGTTCTGTTCCTGTTGCAGCAGTTCAATTTTTGTTTGTAACGACTGGATTTTCATTTGTCTTTCATCTAATTCGTCGCGTAACGCACTTTCGAGATGTGCTTTCGCTTTCTGTTCCAACGTGCACTGTTCTTTTAACTCGGTCACTCTACGAATTGCCTTATCTTGCGTTTCCCCAAGCACCGACTGAAAGGAAAAACAAGCTATTTTTAAATTTGTGATAACATGTTTATGGCCAAATATATATGCAGGTGTGAGAAAGATTGTTGGCAATAGTCCCAAAGTGTGGTCACATTTCTTTTGGCTTTTCACTGACCTTCATTTTGGCATTTTCCCTTTCAAGCTCCTTGTAATGTCGCGCTAAATCCGTATATCGGCCCCGGTATTTATGATATCGCATTTGGGATTTCTGGTATGCCGCATAAACCTGTTCCTTTGAAACATGACCCAACTGTGATGATGCCTGGGAAACATTGTCCTCCAGCTCACTTGCCGAAGCATCTAAGTCTGACTACAACAGAAACAATTCTTACTTCTTGAAAAAATTCACCAAACCCGCTAAAATAACTGTTGACCTAAGTAATAAGCACTAAAGAAATCAAGTATTCCACTGAGTACTATTAATAGAGTTCACGCCCAAGCAATCAATATTGGCCTTTTTGTTGTTTCAGGAGATTTAATTAATTTGTCATTGCCTATAGTGCGTAGGATCGAATTAGTAAAGAAACAAATATTCTTAATTAATAGATAAATCATGTTTAAATTGGCAACTTTATAGAACACGGGAATATCTCATGTCTAGTCCATTACCAATCCATGAACATTTAAACAATCTTATTTCAAGTAAATTATGCCGAATCAAAAAGATATGTCACCAAACGCTTCTATTATCAGATACAAAAGTTATGAATTTTTACAGTCGGTAACTTCTTTACTTTTTGTGATCCTTTGCTTTACTAATTTTACTACAACCCGGATAACGGATCATAATCACCAAAACGTTGCAATAAACCAGGTGCAATTTAACATACTTTTGATATACATGGCGATGAAGGAGGAAATTGCATTTTGTTTTCCCATTCTGACTCCTACGTTTTTTAATGTATTTACTTGAAAATTAGAAGGTAGACAGTCGCATTAACCATTGATCTGACCATATGATAAACAATGTCCCTTATAATATTTAAACAAAAATTTGGCTTCGTTCTAATAGAGGCAAAATCACGAAGCATGAAGCAAGTAATTATTTTGCAATTCACTTGAAAACCATGGCAGAGCCGAAAAAATTCAATTGGAAAGAAAAGCTGTAGATTGACCAAAGAAGTGGCTCACCACAAAAAAGTTAGGGGGCAAAAAGGGGCATGCCCCCTAAAAAAATGTCACCCTGTAAATTCTTACACCTGCTTGACATATGAATTTGCTGTGGACCCCCAAGCTAAACCTAAATTCCAAATTTGGGGTAAATACCTCAAAAACTTCAAGAGTCAGAATGGAAAAACCAAAAACAATTTCTAACTTCAACACTCTGTATATCGAATCACAGCTTTTATAATTATTTTAGCAAGGCTCTATCATTTTCCCCATTAAATCGACCTGAATTAAACGGGTTGATGACAAAAAGCATACATTTTAAGCGAAAAAACAATCACAAAATAGTCAAGAATCCGAACTAAATACGTTCTAAAGCAATTATTCATACAAAAATTGTTGATATTAGTTTACAAAAGTTGACAAAATGCGGCTTTACACCAAAAACATCCCAACAGTAAAAGTTCCAATAAAAATATCCGCTTAAGATATGCAAATAAAACATGTTGTGAATTAAGGAAGCGTAAAAATGCGATTTTAACCAAATAAACATTACATGCTATCAGCTAATTAACCATTTTATTGACCTCAATAGTAAATCATATTTAGACCAAACTAGCACAATTATCAAGTTGGAAGCCGTAAATCTACAGGATTTAACTGATTAATGTAATGTTCATTAGGCACCGAAATCTCTGATAGTAAATGTAGACTTGATTTTCATTGAAAAATCTCTATAAACTTACCTGCAAATGGTATGAACTACTCGGCTCATATCTAGGAAGAAAAGATACATCACTGGCCATAGAAGAGTTGGAGAGTCTTCTGCTTCTGCCTTCAGAAGAGGGTGAAACAAGATTAACACTAGAGAACCCTTGATCTGTACGCATAGCTGAAGCATTTTCATCTGCTATCAATAGTAAAGAAACAGATTAATGAATTGTAGTCGCTTTAAACTATTCAAATCAAAGGACTTAAAGTCGCATTATTACTTTAAATAAAACCAGCCACAAGCGGCTGTAACTTAAAATGGCAACAATATAAACAATCAACTCTATGTGTTGATTGGGACTGCTAATACGGATTATCGACCAAAAAAACGAATGGTTTCCATATTATGCAGTTAAAGTACGAACCGTTAGTGCAGAATATTAAAAAGTATTGAACAATTACCATCTTCTCCAATCGAAAACATATTTTCCTCAGGGGCACTGGTTCCTTGTAATTTGTCACTAACACTTTGAGTCAATTGTTGAAACCTCTGAGGACTGCTCTTCACTTCTTCAGTAATCTTCTCTTTCAGTTTTTTGAACATGTTTACAGCTAAACTGGAACGTTTTTCCTTAATATTTTATATAAACTTTACACTCCCATTCAATATAACAAATTGCTGAATAACCTAAAAGTGACGTGTCAAACGTCATCAAACGTAAATAAATCCAGTGGTCAATAAATCTAACCACCTCAGACTTTAGTTACTTATGTGGCAATGCTGTTTCCCATGCATATGTGAGAAAGTTTATGTATATATTGTTAATTATTTATTAATTTTCGTGTAGACATCACCAGCTAAGCCACTACCCACTATTTCAGTTAGCGATTGCTGTTTAATTATCCGAAAATTTGTGATTTTATCAAACAATCCTCTAGCAATCGTTGGCAACACAGCAGTTTGATTACGACATAACGTAAAATGATGAGGTTATGTTATTCTAACCTCTCTTCGCTCAGGTGTTTTTTACCATTTACTTGTATAAAACACAAAATATCCGAAAATATAAGGGGGTATGTTCTGTGGTATAAAATTATATGGTTTTTGCTAGTAGTATATAGTTACAGGTTTATATATTAAGTATAAAACTTAAAATGCGGTTCGCCCAGTTGGTTGTTGGCCCCGCAGGAAGTGGAAAGGTACAAATTAATTATTATCAAACCAGTGAAAAATTATTTTTATCATATATAATTTTGATTTCTGTCGATAGCCTGTTTCGCAAGAAACAGGCGAACGCATCGGTATTTCTGCCCTTGAATGGACAGTTACAAATTCTTAAAACTATAATAACTTGAAAACATACATTACTTTACAGTCAGCAGTCGTAGATGTTCAAGTAAAGTAGTTCTTTGAAAGTTAAATCGAGATTGTCTTTATTCCATTTTATTTTAGTTCGTTTTAGCCTGTCTGTTTTGTTATGTGTAGCAGGTCTGCCTATGTCTTATGTACGCTCCTATTAGTTTTGTTTTGTTGTTTGTATACATATATACAACAGATCAGAAAAGGCAAAACTTTCTATAGTTTTGTGTGTTTGGGGATGTAGGGGTTGAATTGGTTGGACCCTTTTTTACTTAGCTTTTATGAAAAAGCCCTTCTGAGAGGCTCGGTCCGATTCGGACTCTTTTGAAGGCTCAATCTCCATTTTCTCCTTCTTATGTTTAGCCCATGTATGTTACGCTTGGTTATTTGACGGTCAGATTAAAATATCTTCTCTATAAAGTTGTTGAAGTTCCTTCGTTATCGAAACCGAGTTTTGTAAAATAATTCGCATTAAACACGACCTAATCTTCATCATTTTAAATATTTTCAGTCCACTTACTGTAGTGCCGTAGCTCAATACGGAGCAGACATGAACAGAAACATCGAAGTAATAAATCTCGATCCTGCAGCCGAACACTTTGACTATACCCCTCTCGTGGACATCAGAGAGCTCATTCAAGTGCAAGACACCATGGAAGATGAGGAGCTGCATTTTGGACCTAATGGTATAAGGAAAGCATGATTAATTAATTCACTGGAAAGTCTCACATGTGTTCTTGTAGGTGGCTTAGTGTTCTGCATTGAATACCTTTTGGAAAACGCGGACTGGCTTCGCACGCGACTTGGTATGTATCAATAAAAATATCAGATTTTATTGTCAAATCGCAAAATTTAAAGCGTAATTTCCTGGTCTATGTTTGTCCCAATCAAACGTTTAATAATAGATACTGTGAGAAATCTAATCATTTATAGTCAAGCTATTTTCCCATATTTTCTCTATAAGCGAACACTGCTAATATACAAAGTATTTCAGGGGGCAGGGGCATTATTCTGACCACGTATTCTACGTCGGAAAATAACCCGTTTGTAGTTTATAAACGATAGCCCAAAAATGCTTCGTTACGGATTTACATTATTCCCTATCATCTGACGTGTTTGGATAAACACCTTGTATATCCAATAGTCAATTCAACACTGTTTTTATAGGTGAACACGAAGACGATTATATTTTATTCGACTGTCCCGGTCAAATAGAGCTATACACACATCTAACTGCAATTAAACGGCTGATTACTCTATTGCAAGATTGGAACTTTAATGTTTGTTCTGTATTTCTAATGGATGTACAGTTTATGACTGATGGATCGAAGTTTTTATCTGGTAATTTCACATTTTTGTGTTAAAACCGATTAAAAATCTTGTTGATTTAGGAACGATGGCGGCTCTTAGTATTATGGTGAATTTGGAACTGCCACATGTGAATATCCTATCCAAAATGGACTTACTTAGCAAAACAGCCAGAAGAAGATTGGAAAGGTTCTTGGAACCGGATTCACATGCAATTTTAGGCAAGTGATTTTCAAATTTACTTTTAAGGCAGTTTTGCAATTGTTGAACTCTTTCTAGGAGATATTGAATTGAATGGACTTTCGGCCTTCAATCTGAAATACAAGAGCCTTACGGAATCTTTCGGAAAACTGATAGAAGATTATTCTCTAGTACGATTCATTCCATTAAACCTGAAAAACCACGAGAATATGGGTAAGTACCTTATCATAAATGCCAATTTATTATCTATTATGGATTTATTATTCTAGGTGATCTCTTAATAACAATAGATAATGTCATACAGTATGGTGAAGACCAAGACATCAAAACAAAGGACTTTGAGGAAGAAGAACCTGATGTATTCGAAAACCTTACCAACGAGTGACTTGTTTGTTGCATCAAAAAGGGTAAATTTTGGTCTGTTGGGACAAATACCAAGCCCTTAGGTACATTTTTTCGTCGGATTGCGATGCTCTTTGAAATTTAAAAATTGCAATTCAATTATTTACAATAACATATTTATTATGTACATCAACAAGATCTAGAAGTACCTGGGCACTTTAATCGATTAATCTAAAGGGGGCCACAGTAAGCTCACTTCCCCATGTGCAGATTGTGGTAACCACTCCAAATATTCTTGTAATAAATCTGAAAACATACAAAACAGTTATAGTTTTACTTTAATTATATCTGATTTTATTATAACAGATCAAGCCAATTGAATTTATAGAAGTAACTTACAATTTGGTTGCTCTTCCCAAGCATCGAGCAACGATTGCTTGCTGTGTGCGCGCTTTTTAAGCAGACCGTTTAGCAAAATCTGTGTCATAGGCTTCAATCTATAAAAAAAAATGTTAAAAATGCAACCAAAAAAAGATTGGAAGTTTCTACTAACTTTGCCCAACTTTTGGTCATAACCGCAGGTAAACTTTTCAAACAATTTTGGTATTTGGCCAACTTTTTAAACGGGAGGCCCTGTAAGAAGAACACAGCAAACCATTTAAAGTTGTCGATACCGTCAGGATATGGCATTTTGATAGGTGGTAATGGCCATGCTTGAGGGCCAAAAGTGCCTTTAAACCAACAATATACGGTTCCTGCAAATAATTAATCGTGAAAACTTCGAAACGTTGATCTCCATAAAATTCCTACCAGTCTCTTCGTTGTAAAATGGAGGAGGGTCTGCCAACGGATCAGACATATTGCATAGAGCAGGTACATAAACAGGCAACCATGCTGCATCTACTGCTGTTACTCCTCTCATGTAGATTTTATTAGTTTCGTAAATTTCCTGATAAACCACAAACTCCGGGAAAATGTTTCGAAGAACTGAACTATCCTGCAGAAACACTAGATCTTCCATATTATTTGCTTGATAAGCGTTTTTAAACTTGGATAGCTTTTCCCCTTTTGGGACTTCGTCTATGGGGACCTTCCTTGCAATTTGATCTCCCATAGCACTGAGAAGTACTTGCCGAAGTAGTTTCATCTGCAATGTAATGTTCATATTTTCACAGCTTTCCCAATTCAGTACAAATAATATTCCTTTTAATGTGGTATTTTAATTAAAAATAAAAAACCTATTTTATAAGTAGAGATATGCTTTCGAGGCGATTCCTTGAAACTTGTGAGCTTTTCGGGTTTTTAGGCCATCGTACAATCGAATTTCTTCCCAATTTTCAATGGAAGAAGTTCCATTGTACGACGCTCTAAAAATCCGAAAAACTCACAAGTTTCTAATTTGTTAGGGTTCAAAGACTGACCTGATGATCCGTTGGTGGTTCCATTTTAGGTTGAAGAACGATATCCAAATCTTCAAAGTTCTTGTTTATTTCCGAAGTCAATTGAACGCGCAGTTTTCTGAAATAAATCAAATAGTTGAAACGATCTATTCCTTCTAAATCTGTAAATGACATACCTAATCTCAAGTACAGCCTTGTGCCTTAAGCCATATGCATCACACGTTTTCCGAAGTTCTGTCATACTGTCTGTATATTCAGCACAACCAATAGCTTTTAACAAAACGCCATTGTCGCCTAAAAGAAGAGAGTTTCCCGCTCCTGCCAGTTGCTTTCTAAGCGATGTCCATTTTTGTCGTGTTTTGCTTTGGTCTTCTGCAGATGTGGATATCAAAGGTCTCTGGAACAAAAAGAATGACATCCCAAAATCAACACAATCTTAATATGTTTCAAAAATAAATAATTTAATTTCAGTTTTTTATGCTACAAAAATGTAATCGGCCGACAAAATCGGATTTATATTATATATTTTTCTGCAGAAACGGAATCAAAAGTTGAAAAAAAATCTGATTTCCATGGTAAGATACCACTTTCCAGATACAGTTAGTGTTTTTTACGTTGATCACGTTTTTCACGACGTACATTTTACGACTGTGACATATTTACCTCTAGGAGAACTTCTGAGACACTTAAAGCAGCTACTAAAATAATTGCGTAAGGCAGAAGATCCTGCTGGCGGCTCAATGAGAGCATTTTGCCAAATCGAGCAGCAACTGGAAATTTTGCAATGGTTTGACCAAGCCCCGTTAATTGGCCGTTCTTCAGTGCACCTGCAACAAAATTCTAGTTGCATAAATTCCAATTGACAATTTCAATAATTATCAAAAGTGATTTTTGCGTACAGTACCTAAAACTTCTAGTCTATGCGCTGCAGCTTTCAGTTGTTCTAAATCGGGAGCTGAAGGAAAAGGAAATTTGATGACATTGTTTAAACCGATGCATTTCAGTTGCAGATACACATCGTCAATTGGTTTTTGTTGAATTTCTGCCGGACTAAACTGGGGCAGCTCGTTGTTAAACACTGCGCTTGAATAGAGTCTAGAAATGAAAATACAATCGATATTGAAATCGTAGAATTTATGAACGAAATAGCTTACCTATAACAATGTCCAGGGCCTGTACGCCCTGCTCTGCCAGCCCTCTGATTAGCCGACGCCTTACTCGTCCAACCTACCACATATTTCGTCACGCCGGTGATTTTATCGTATAGTTTCATCTGCAACAGTTATAGTATAGTATTCAGCCAGAAGAAGATTTAAACATCCAACTCACCTTTGTTTTTCCGGTATCGACGACATATTTAATATTGGGAATTGTTAAAGAAGTTTCGGCCACATTGGTGCTAATAATACAAAGCCGGCAACCACTGGGAGGCGGTTGAAAGACCTGCAACAATACGCTTTAATTGCGGAAAAACATTGATTTTGCACAAAATTACCTTTTGTTGCCTTTGAGAAGGCAACATGGAATACAAAGGTAAAGCCCATAACGGTTGTGCATTGCGATGTACAATTTCATCGTCTGCCTGTTCTTCGTCTTCGGATAATCCATCATATTCCTCCCCAGAGAAGGTTTCGGTGTCATTCTGTAGGCTGTAGTCATCCAAGTTGATTTCTGGTAGATTAGTTTGCTTGGCTTTTTTCAACCTTTTGCGCATTTTCTTCAAAGCAAAATCATCTCCACTGTCAGACTCATTCGGATTTTCTTCATTATCTCCACTATTTTCACCTTCACCGGTGCGGTTTTTGTTTATATTATTTTGTGGAAACGCCCGTCTAAGTTTATTCACCAAATAATTAACTTCCTGCTGTCCAGTGACGAAAACCAAAATGCCGCCTTCTGGCAAAGTATTGTGAATCCTCACAGTCTTCCGATATGCGTCTTTTAGATAGTCGTTATTTGTCCGCCTATTAAAGTGGACAGTGACAGGAAATTGCCGGGAATCTACATTTATTACCGGCGGCGTTTTTTTGAAAAGGTGCTTGTTTTCAGTAAAGTCGTTCACTCTCAATGTAGCTGACATTATGATCAATTTCAATGGGTCTCCCTTTTTGTGTCTCAGCGGTACAATACGAGATAGGAATCCTATTAGAAGATCAGTGTCCACTGACCTTTCATGGGCCTCGTCTAGGATAATTACAGAGTATTTTGTGAGCAAAAAATCGCTTTGAATTTCTTTCAGCAAAACTCCGTCCGTCATGAATTTGATTTTGGTTTCGTCTGTTACATTGCCCTCAAACCGGATCAAATATGAAACTTCTTTGCTGGTTAGATTCATTTCCTCGCCCACTCTTTTGGACATAGAAATAGCAGCGACTCTTCTTGGCTCGGTAATACATATTTGCCTTTCCAAAGCATAGCCGGCTTCATATAGAAATTGTGGCACTTGCGTTGTTTTGCCACTTCCAGTTTCACCTAGAGTTGTGATTTTAATAACCGTTTATTAGTAAAAAAATGTGGGGAATGAACTACTTACCGGAAATGATGACAATTGGATTTTCATTGATTATCTCAACGATTTGTTGCTCTTCAGCTAGAATAGGCAACTTCAAGCGGGCTGCTTGAATTTCCTTGCTTCTAGCCAAATCCACAAATACCGCAGGCTTGCGAACCACGGGCTTTTGTGGATTTTTCCGCTTCGGATCTCCAACTTCAACTACTTCAGCAGTAGACTTCTGAACAGGAGCTTCTTTTTGAACATTGCATGACTTGGGCTTTTCCACTTTTCCAGGGGAAATCTTTTGCGGAACTTCCACTTCATCATCATTATCGGTCGATACATCACTGCCGCTAGACTCAAAGCCAACTATATTAGGGTCTCTAATCTTGGACCTTTTCTCAACTACTTGAACGTGATCATCTGATAGACGTCTTCGCTTTTTTCTATACGCCCCTCTAATTGAATTGAGCTTTGGAGCCGGCTTGTCATCGATAATTACATTTCTATTTTTAACAGTTTCTGGATGGGCTTCTTCTCGGTAATGCCTCTTCAAGCCCTTTGTTTGAACCGATGCAATTGACGTCAGTTGCGAAAGTTCCTCAGAAGTGGCTTGGACTGTTTGCAAAGACTCTATCAAACTGGCGCGATTCTTCTGTTTCTTTTTGCGATCGACGATTTTCTCAAGCCTTTTCCGGTGTTTTTTTGACAAAATTCGGGTAACCGTAATTTTGTTATCTTT